TTTTTAAATGCTTGATAACTTCACCATTTTATATATGTTTTGCAGTATTTTTTAGATAATATGCCTCATTTAATGACCTATTGCAACATGTAAAAATGGGCATGATCTCGAACATTCGAATTTTTCTAGATTGTGGCGGCAGATTAGTCCAATAGTTACATTATTTAAGTAACAAGTCTCAAATATGAAAGATGGCTATGTTACAAGCCCATACGTATCTATATTGTATACAGACTCTCTCCGAGATCTGCACGTGCACGTCGTGTGGGCGCGGCTGGTTGGCGCAAACGAAATCGGTGCGAGGTATTTCATTTCTCCGACTCTCCATTACACATTTATGGTTAAGGGTAAAATTTCTCGGAGTGGGGTCGATACTCGATACGGCTTTTTTTTCGAAAAACCACCGACTTTCGTACCATTTAAATATGTCTCGTAAGGTAGTTAGTCTCCTGTCAGATGCTTTTAGTTGAGTGATGCAACGACACAGAACTGTGTCCCTGGACCTGGCTGTAGGTTCGAACATTTCCTCTTCTCAAAATTCCATCCTTCTCCTCGCCGGGATGATTCTAGGATTACAGTTTCTTAACCATAGTTGGTTCGTGAGTCGATTTTTCGTTCATTAATTAACGTGCGTTTGCCTTAAATCTTGCAGGCCTGGTTTGGATAAACAATAAAAACGACCTTTATAAGCTTCTTAAGACTTAACTTGTCATATAATACTTTTAAACATACTATATAGTAAGTGGACAATAAATGAACATTGAGAATACCCGATTGCAATCGGCCACGATCGAAAGGAACCAACACGATGTAAAATACTACAGTCTACACTGTATTTTGAATGTTCTGGCTGATGGTATGTGTACTGTATAAGTTCATTTGGTAAAAAGTCCCTATAATAAGGTACCTATACTAAGGTCCCTATACTAAGGTCCCTATACTAAGGTCCCTATAATAAGGTCCCTATACTAAGGTCCCTATACTAAGGTCCCTATAATAAGGTACCTATACTAAGGTACCTATACTAAGGTCCCTATACTAAGGTCCCTATACTAAGGTCCCTATACTAAGGTCCCTATAATAAGGTACCTATACTAAGGTCCCTATACTAAGGTACCTATACTAAGGTCCCTATACTAAAGTACCTATACTAAGATCCCTATACTAAGGTCCCTATACTAAGGTACCTATACTAAGGTCCCTATAAGTATACGAAGGTCTCTATAATAAGGTACCTATACTAAGGTTCCTATACTGAGGTCCCTATAATAAGGTACCTATACTAAGGTACCTATACTAAGGTCCCTATAAGTATACGAAGGTCTCTATAATAAGGTCCCTATACTAAGGTCCCTATACTAAGGTCCCTATAATAAGGTACCTATACTAAGGTACCTATACTAAGGTCCCTATACTAAGGTCCCTATACTAAGGTCCCTATACTAAGGTCCCTATAATAAGGTACCTATACTAAGGTCCCTATACTAAGGTACCTATACTAAGGTCCCTATACTAAAGTACCTATACTAAGATCCCTATACTAAGGTCCCTATACTAAGGTACCTATACTAAGGTCCCTATAAGTATACGAAGGTCTCTATAATAAGGTACCTATACTAAGGTTCCTATACTGAGGTCCCTATAATAAGGTACCTATACTAAGGTACCTATACTAAGGTCCCTATAAGTATACGAAGGTACCTATACTAAGGTCCCTATACTAAGGTCCCTATACTAAGGTCCCTATACTAAGGTCCCTATAATAAGGTACCTATACTAAGGTCCCTATACTAAGGTACCTATACTAAGGTCCCTATACTAAAGTACCTATACTAAGATCCCTATACTAAGGTCCCTATACTAAGGTACCTATACTAAGGTCCCTATAAGTATACGAAGGTCTCTATAATAAGGTACCTATACTAAGGTTCCTATACTGAGGTCCATATACTAAGGTCCCTATACTAAGGTACCTATACTAAGGTACCTATACGAAGGTCCCTATAATAATTAATAAGGTGGCTATACTAAAGTACCTAAAAGTGCGTGAATTTAGGTCGTTTCGTGAGTAACGTGCGTTGTGTTTTAAAAGTTCGTAAAGTGCGCACGAACCAACTATGTTCTAATATCCCAGGTAAGATGTTTTATTCGGTTTATATGTAAGCCTAGAGGGACATTGTTTCTTTTAAAAAGCTCCTTTTGAGACTATCCTAGTTGCATATTGAAGGCTCTTGTCAGACACTGGACGATATGCTGATGATGGTTACTTCGTGGTAGCTCTCGGTATGGTTCGGAGTGATAACAACTCACCTTCACAGCTTGCACTTTGCAGTAGAGAGTCAGAGTACTTAAAATGGTAGAGTAGGCCAGTCGAACTTGCTCAGGATCATAAAATGTAGGTAATAGGAATATTCCATTTGTAAATACAGATGATTTGTACAGTTAACGAATTTTACCCTCTGATAGAGCAGGATGGAAGAAATTGTTTTAGTTTATGTATCTGTATTTCTTTTTTTCAGGCTACTTATCAGATCTTTAAAATGTTCATTTATGTTCTTATAACCAGAACTCATAACCGTTTGTGCGTAGGAGGATATATATTATATAACTGTCCACCTCATTATTAAGAAATTAATGTGACTACGAGGTTGATACTCTTGAGCTGGGTTAAATATTTCGGTGCTAAATATTTCCATTAGCTTTTAGCTTTTAAAGTATTTGAAATCTTTTTCTGGACTCCTCTCTGAGACTCAGATTTTGACCTGGCTTGAAAGTCCCTATCTATCTATAACAGAGGTTCAATTACCGAAGGCAGTTTGTTTCAAGCCATGCAGGGTTTCTTACCTCTTTGGAGACCAAATCTGACTGGGAGCCACAACACAACATGTGGTGCAGCAACTGTAGACACAACATGTATACCGAATTTAGCTTCCCGATTATCGACATTGAATTTGGAATCATAAGTAAAAAGTTAGGTTGATTGTCGGAGCATTTAGAAACACAAATATCTCGATTTTCCGAATTTTTTTGTTGAATTGTCTCAGAAGCTCAAAAATGTTTCATTGCCATTGCCGCAAAAGTAAACTTCCTGGCAAGTTTCTCGTCCAAAAGTCAATCAAGATGGTTCAAATTATTGTGCCCAAATTTTAACGATAAGATGCTATTAGCCGAGTTCAAAACAAGTTTATTGACGGTTAATTGCGGTACACACGAAACTTTTACCAGCCATTTCTTAATCGATTTCATATTAGAATTATTAATATTATATTACGTATAACATCCATAATATTCGTTCCAAGTCACTCAGCAGAAAATTAGCTTTTTTGGCCATAACAGTTTCTACTGATTAGATTTTTGGGAATTGAGAGATCCAGATAAATACCGTTCACTTCAGAGACTTTAGTTTAATTCAATAATAAGGAAGTTGTTCCACGGAAGTCAAATGTGATATACCTTACTCGGGAATATTATAGCGGGTTAATTTATGACTGGGAAAATTAATGACCGGGAAAAATATGGCGGAATTTTCCAAAACCCACCACTTTATCCCAGTCATAATATTCCCGAGTAAGGTAATTGAAGACGCAGTTATTTGATGTTCAGGACGAGTTTCTATAACTTTACCTTTACCTTTTAGGTAAAGGTAAGCAAAATGCATTCCTTCAGTCTGGCATCAAGAAACTGACTTAAAATCCATGTTGTTAATCTCTCGCACTGCACCCTGACAAAGATCAAAACAATTTTTAAGAACGTTGTTAGGAGAGATTCTGAATAGTCAAAAAATGGAAAGCTCAACTGACTAACTGACTAACTGACTAACTGACTAACTGACTAACTGACTAACTGACTAACTGACTAACTGACTAACTGACTAACTGACTAACTGACTAACTGACTAACTGACTAACTGACTAACTGACTAACTGACTAACTGACTAACTGACTAACTGACTAACTGACTAACTGACTAACTGACTAACTGACTAACTGACTAACTGACTAACTGACTAACTGACTAACTGACTAACTGACTAACTGACTAACTGACTAACTGACTAACTGACTAACTGACTAACTGACTAACTGACTAACTGACTAACTGACTAACTGACTAACTGACTAACTGACTAACTGACTAACTGACTAACTGACTAACTGACTAACTGACTAACTGACTAACTGACTAACTGACTAACTGACTAACTGACTAACTGACTAACTGACTAACTGACTAACTGACTAACTGACTAACTGACTAACTGACTAACTGACTAACTGACTAACTGACTAACTGACTAACTGACTAACTGACTAACTGACTAACTGACTAACTGACTAACTGACTAACTGACTAACTGACTAACTGACTAACTGACTAACTGACTAACTGACTAACTGACTAACTGACTAACTGACTAACTGACTAACTGACTAACTGACTAACTGACTAACTGACTAACTGACTAACTGACTAACTGACTAACTGACTAACTGACTAACTGACTAACTGACTAACTGACTAACTGACTAACTGACTAACTGACTAACTGACTAACTGACTAACTGACTAACTGACTAACTGACTAACTGACTAACTGACTAACTGACTAACTGACTAACTGACTAACTGACTAACTGACTAACTGACTAACTGACTAACTGACTAACTGACTAACTGACTAACTGACTAACTGACTAACTGACTAACTGACTAACTGACTAACTGACTAACTGACTAACTGACTAACTGACTAACTGACTAACTGACTAACTGACTAACTGACTAACTGACTAACTGACTAACTGACTAACTGACTAACTGACTAACTGACTAACTGACTAACTGACTAACTGACTAACTGACTAACTGACTAACTGACTAAGTGCAGAGTGATGGATTAGTGCTGTCTGACTGATATTTTTAATTCTTAGCCATTTTTCCATAGAGTTTCTAATTTGAGGCAATGATGACTGTTTAAAAACAAAGTAAAATACCATAATTTCGAATAACATTTCTTAATTCGAATCAACCATATATTTAATTCATAACAATTTTACTCATACTACGATTTAAAAAAGCTATAGAAATAGTGGCTCAGAAGTTCTTAGTACTCTTCACCTTCTTCTTCGCCTTCACCGTCAACGGAGTCAACTCCAACCTCTTCGTAGTCCTTCTCCAGAGCAGCCAGATCCTCCCTAGCCTCAGAGAACTCTCCCTCTTCCATACCTTCTCCTACGTACCAATGGACGAAGGCTCTCTTGGCGTACATAAGATCGAACTTGTGGTCAAGACGAGCCCAGGCCTCAGCGATGGCGGTGGTGTTGGACAACATGCACACAGCCCTCTGTACCTTGGCGAGATCACCTCCGGGAACAACTGTTGGTGGCTGGTAGTTGATGCCAACCTTGAATCCAGTGGGACACCAGTCAACAAACTGGATGGTTCTCTTGGTCTTGATGGTGGCAATGGATGCGTTGACGTCCTTGGGGACAACATCTCCTCGGTACAACATACAGCAAGACATGTATTTTCCGTGTCTGGGGTCGCATTTCACCATCTGAAAATTACTCGCTGTTAAATGATATTGTAATCGTCCTAAAATTGAAGCATAGTGATCATATTGTAAGTAATATTTGAAAGGAAAGCTTGACACCACTTTAACCTTTTCGCATTATTTATAACGACGATGTGTAAGTTTTTATAAATATTTGTATATTGAACTGACCTGGTTGGCAGGCTCGAAACAAGCGTTGGTGATCTCAGCAACTGAGAGCTGCTCGTGATAAGCCTTCTCAGCTGAGATAACTGGAGCATAGGTTACCAGAGGGAAGTGAATCCTGGGGTATGGCACCAAGTTAGTCTGGAACTCTGTCAGATCAACGTTCAGAGCACCGTCAAATCGGAGAGAAGCGGTGATGGAGGAGACGATCTGTCCAATCAGTCTGTTCAGGTTGGTGTAGGTTGGCCTCTCAATGTCCAGGTTTCGTCGGCAGATGTCGTAGATGGCTTCATTGTCGACCATGAAGGCACAGTCGGAGTGCTCGAGGGTGGTGTGGGTGGTCAGGACGGAGTTGTAGGGCTCAACAATAGCGGTAGAGACCTGAATGAATTAAAAGTTATAAATCTAGTATTTGAGATAATTCAGTAGTATTACTAATGCAGAAACTATTAAACTAGAATTGCATACTTATTATTATATAAAAGAAGGATAGATACCTGAGGTGAGGGGTAGATGGCGAACTCAAGCTTGCTCTTCTTTCCGTAGTCCACGCTCAGTCTCTCCAGGAGAAGAGAGGTGAATCCAGATCCGGTACCTCCACCGAAGGAGTGGAAGACGAGGAATCCTTGAAGACCAGTGCACTGATCAGCCAATTTCCTGACTCTGTCCAGACAAAGGTCAACAATCTCCTTGCCGACGGTGTAGTGACCACGAGCGTAGTTGTTGGCAGCATCCTCCTTTCCGGTGATGAGCTGTTCGGGGTGGAAGAGCTGTCTGTAGGTTCCAGTCCTTACTTCATCAACAACAGTGGGTTCCAAGTCAAGGAAGACGGCACGGGGAACGTGCTTGCCAGCTCCAGTCTCGCTGAAGAAGGTGTTGAATGAATCGTCACCACCTCCAATGGTTTTGTCAGAAGGCATCTGGCCATCAGGCTGGATACCATGTTCCAGGCAGTAAAGTTCCCAGCAGGCATTACCGATCTGGACACCGGCTTGTCCGAGATGAATCGAGATGCATTCTCTCTGAAAATGTCGGACATTAAGGAGTGTTATTTACCTTATTTTAAATTGACATTCGTTTTGATACATTAAGGTATAACACTGCTTATTTATTTTTATGTAAAATAGTAAAATCAAAATTCAGAAAATTTTCAAGCGTAGATTTTTAAACCGTTATCTGTTGACAAATCGATTTCACAAATTAACTGATCTATCGTTTTAAATGAGCTATAAAGTTTGTAGCAACAGCGGTTTCACTGTGCTGACGTTGATTTAAGTAACGATTGAATATACATTCGTATTATAAAAAGAGTTAAAACCGGTGGAATCTTTGCTTACCATTTTGATTAAGATAAAGGAGACGTTTTAAAAGTTCAAGAGCAAAGTAGAAATTTCAAAAGAATGCTTAGATCCGACCAGCAACTTTGTTTTAAAGGCTAGTCAAACTCCATCTCCATAACGATTTTAACACGCAGACAACTGGAACGGATTCTTATACATGACATAGGTTTGTGTCATAGTTCGATCCAACGAACTGCACTTGTTAGACTTCGTCACGTGACACTTGCAAGCATAAAATTGTGAATACGTTAACAATGCATGCATGATGGTGCTTGGACAAATTTGAGCTTCAGCATGCAAAGGTCAAAGTAACGGAGCTTTTCAGTGAACTTGCTTGTTTTTCAAATTTAAAACCAGCCTCTATACCATGGAAACTATTAACTATAATAGCTATAAAGAGTCACGATATCGTCTAATTTCCATTCACCTTTATTTATAAGTTTGGCTACGTTGCTCCAACTTTAATTTACCAATTTAATCATGGTGAGTGAAATAATACAGTTTTTTAATACATAATATAAAAACACCGAATGAGAAAATACATTTTATTTTATCTACTGCTGAGAATCACAAATAATTGATAAAAGACGTTAATTTATAGGTAGCTGCTTTTTGTATCATTAGCTTTAGAAACTAATAGTAATAATTATGAAATTATTTATCAATTACTCTTGTAATGATTAGTGCTATAAAATAGGTAAACAATAACCTGGATTTTGAACTGACATGTTTTGTCCTTTCAGAGAGAGTGCATCTCGATTCATCTCGGACAAGCCGGTGTCCAGATCGGTAATGCCTGCTGGGAACTTTACTGCCTGGAACATGGTATCCAGCCTGATGGCCAGATGCCTTCTGACAAATCCATCGGAGGCGGTGATGATGCTTTCAACACCTTCTTCAGCGAGACTGGAGCTGGCAAGCACGTTCCCCGTGCCGTCTTCCTTGACTTGGAACCCACCGTTGTTGATGAAGTAAGGACTGGAACCTACAGACAGCTCTTCCACCCCGAACAGCTCATCACCGGAAAGGAGGATGCTGCCAACAACTACGCTCGTGGTCACTACACCGTCGGCAAGGAGATTGTTGACCTTTGCCTGGACAGAATCAGGAAATTGGCTGATCAGTGCACTGGTCTCCAAGGATTCCTCGTCTTCCACTCCTTCGGTGGAGGTACCGGATCTGGATTCACCTCTCTTCTCCTGGAGAGACTGAGCGTGGACTACGGAAAGAAGAGCAAACTTGAGTTTGCCATCTACCCCTCACCTCAGGTATCTATCCTTCTTCAATATAATTTTTTAATTTAAGTTAATCTGCACTGAACTGACGACTGATCTGATGTCTCGTGATAATCTCCAATTCTTATAACTAATTTTGAAAATATTGTGCGAACCGCAATAGCGTAGAGTGCAGTTGGGTTTCAAGTTTTGTCGAGATGGCTATGTGGCCATAATCCTATTATTATTATTAATGAATTATCTTCATGGAAAGTACAGCATTGCTAGGTCTGTAATTATGAATACGTTCAGGTCTCCACCGCTATTGTTGAGCCCTACAACTCCGTCCTGACCACCCACACCACCCTCGAGCACTCTGACTGTGCCTTCATGGTCGACAATGAAGCCATCTACGACATCTGCCGACGAAACCTGGACATTGAAAGGCCAACCTATACCAACCTGAACAGACTGATTGGACAGATTGTCTCCTCCATCACCGCTTCTCTCCGATTTGACGGTGCTCTGAACGTTGATCTGACTGAGTTCCAGACTAACTTGGTGCCATACCCCAGGATTCACTTCCCTCTGGTAACCTATGCTCCAGTTATCTCAGCTGAGAAGGCCTACCACGAGCAGCTCTCAGTTGCTGAGATCACCAACGCTTGTTTCGAGCCTGCCAACCAGGTCAGTTCTATATACAAATATTTATAAAAACTTACACATCGTCGTTATAAATAACGTGAAAAGGTTAAAGTAGTGTCTGGCTTCTTTTCCAATGGTCTATATCTTTTTGATTTTTTTAAATTCTAAATAATTTGGAGAAAACCTTAACAGCGAGTAATTTTCAGATGGTGAAATGTGATCCTCGACACGGCAAATACATGTCTTGCTGTATGTTGTACCGAGGAGACGTTGTCCCCAAGGATGTCAACGCTGCCATCGCCACCATCAAGACCAAGAGAACCATCCAGTTTGTTGACTGGTGTCCCACTGGATTCAAGGTTGGCATCAACTACCAGCCACCAACAGTTGTTCCCGGAGGTGATCTTGCCAAGGTACAGAGGGCTGTGTGCATGTTGTCCAACACCACCGCCATCGCTGAGGCCTGGGCTCGTCTTGACCACAAGTTCGATCTTATGTACGCCAAGAGAGCCTTCGTCCATTGGTACGTAGGAGAAGGTATGGAGGAGGGAGAGTTCTCTGAGGCTAGGGAGGATCTTGCTGCTCTGGAGAAGGACTACGAAGAGGTTGGAGTTGACTCTGTTGACGCTGACGGCGAGGAGGAAGGTGAAGAGTACTAGAAACTTTGTAACCAAATAAGAACAGGCTCTGTAGTCTAATTTTAAAATTCATAATTATTATATGTAAATCTCTAAAATTGTGTTTAAAAAATGTTTTCGTTTCACTGCAATACATATAACAAAACCATTAAACTTTCCATTATTACTCGACAATTAGCATTCTACCAATACGAGGGGACGCAAAGACTTATTCTATAATATTATTTGGTTGGCCTTTTTTTGACACGTTCGTCATCATGTTAATATAAAGTTCGGAAAATAAATTTACTTCTGGCTAAGACTCCAAAAATTTTAATTTAGAAGAAATTTTCCATTTTAGTATTTTGAGCATAAAAGAAAAGCACTAATTTAAGACATTATACCATTATTTATAGCCACATTCAGTACCGATCATTTTGTGTACTATGAAACTCCCATTTACCACTAAAGTGACAAAATTAATTCAAGATAGATGTGAGATTATGACTCCTCAAAGGTTAGTATTTTGGCGAATAGGACTTGCAGATTGTTTCCCCTTAATTGATTTTAGACGGCTCTCTTTTAAGCTAGCCCTTTACTATTTTGCCCACAATGAAACATAGATATATACATAGATCGTTTAGATAGTGTTAAGTGTAGAGCATTATACCATAGCATTATAAAGAGCATGTGACTTCAAATGGCGAGATTATGGTATGGTACATCCGACCAGGCGATGATATCGAAATTCCTGATTAATCTACAGTGAAACTTTCATCCTTGAACCAGATTGAAACCGTTAGTTAGACCATTTTCCTGAGTAAGATTCTAAATTCGAGTGGCGTAAGGCGCAGAGTTTGGGCGTGGGTCTACGGTTCGAAGTGGTGACAGTTTTTATTCTAATTTCAATTTTCTTGAATAGCATGATGAATGATGATGCTGAAATATATGTGATTTGATAACTTATTTACCCGAGAAACATCATTGTCACAAGCACGCTAAAGAGTGACTTTCTGGTACAGCTTCGAGAGCCATCTATCTATAACTGTCCGGCGACAGTCTTTAAGACGTTCCATTCTATTCTGGCACCCTGGAATTTTACCATAATTTTTACAAGTTTCAGCACCTTTTGCAAATTTCCATAATAACTTTTGTAGTTCGATCATTTTTGGGTCCGAAGATAGCTACTCCGACGGTTGACGTTTCATTGTATCTAAAAATAAAGATCTAAAGGCTCATCAAATAGCTAAGCATAGTTATAATGTGTATCATGCATTTATTTTAGAAGATGAGAAGATTAAGTTTTCTGTCATTTGCAAAGTTGGGTCACAGCATGTCGTCAGGCAACGAGACTAAGTGATAGGATAGAGTAGAGCAGAATGAACACTGGTAAGGTGTAATTAAGTGCTGCAGACAATTAAAATCATAAATTTTTACAATAAATTAACATTGCATGAAAATATAATATACAAGTAAAATTAATTTCAAATTAACAGCTGTTCAAGTTTACTTCATGCCATATTATTTATACCAGACAGGGAAAATTTAATCGATTATTCTTCCAACATAGAAAGCAGCTTCATCTTTCTATAACATGGAATGCTGTAAATATTAAAACATTTAGTTTCGGGCTAGTAGACCCCCCACCCCCATTTTAAGTAATTCCCACAAGCTCCCAAGTAACTTAGCTTCTCCCAGCTTATATTCTACATACTCCCGGATAGATTTCAACCTTCAACAAATGCTCCTGACAGTTGAACGGATCACTAAAACACTTGATATAAACTCGTGACTTAATCACGGATGAACAATGTAGTAGTATAAATAAATAAACTACACTCTTAATCTAGTCCGTTTTCAAACTTTCTCTAGAAATAATTAACATCTCAAGTGTTTAGGTGATTAAGAAAATGAGGTTCCAGTTTCCACCAATATGACGGAGATTTGATTACAGAACCGCAATGCAATATTCGATGATAAGGGTCACAAACATAACGGAAGGACTGTTATCACTTCACGCACTTGTAGTTTCCACTAACTGATATCGATTTGTTAATTCACAAATCCTCAACTCTTCGTTCTATAGTAGATAACAGTATGCCATGTTATTAGACACATTCTTATCACTACTCACTTCATCTCAGGTCCATGATGAACAACTCAGCTCTGTCAGTCGGTAACAAAGAACACTTAAAACACGTGTCATTCTCCAAGTGTCTTACTACTTCGTCTGTTACACAGATATTAATCCCATTAGGTCCACTCTTCTGAACAGCCCCCACTGAGTTGGGATCCAGACTGAAGGCTCCACAAATGTTCCCAACCAGTTCCCGGTAAGTTAGACTCTCCAGATAAACAGCCTGGTGCACTGCGTTGGGTGTACCTTCCAGCATAACGTACAGACACAGTTTAGAAGTTACTGCTTTGTTCTGCAGCGCGTTGTGTAGCCTGATACCGTCCGTAGCTCCGATCAGATCCGTCAGATCGTTCCGGGACAGTCTTAGCAGATCAAATCCGGAGAAGTTGTTGAATGTTTTGATGTGGCCGTTGAAGCGGTTGTTGCGTAACCACCGCAGAGTGTCGTGAACTGAGGAGCGAGAGGTGAGGGTCCAAGAGTCACGACTTTCTCCGATACAGGGCTTCTTGGGGGAGTTGAGCTCGTTATCAGGGTCAGAGTAACTGAAGAAAAAGTGTTAAAATCGTTATCATAACTTCGCTGAATAATAATTTAAATAAACGTTTTGCGTCTCATTGTATAAGAGAAATAATAATGAGAAATAATCACGATAAATCGCACATCAAAAAAATAACACTTCAATTGATTTTTCTACGTAGATATTTGGAGCGATGTTAATACCATATTACTATGCTTTTTTTGTACTATGCTTTTGTCCGAGCACGCAACACGTTGAAGAAATGGACCAGATTTGCAAGTGATGTGTTTAATTTGATTGAAACGGTGTGACAACACAATAAACGTACGTGCTGCGCGTACATTATCTTCAGGATCAAATCGCGCGTTACAAAATTCGGTTTTCAGATGTGACCGATTGAGAGCCAAAACAAAACTTATGTAGTATTATTGTAATAGAGGAAGATTTAAAATCACGGGTTCTTAGATTTCGGAATTCAAGTTTTTAGCCGCATTAATTCTGATTATGGTGATCGTATCGAATATTGGGAGTTAAAGATCTACGACCAAGCATAATTATAAACTATATCGTGCAAGTTCCAACGCCTCTCTTCAGCTAATTATAGAAAATATCAACAAAATAAGCATAGTTGCATACTTGTCCGACAATTTGCTATTGTCAGCATAGTAGGCGGACGTATTGTAAGCTTCACTGTAGCTGCAGCTTGATACATCAAATGTTCTCGTTATCTGAAATAATTTTAACTTTCACATCAAACGATCATGCTTTATTTAAAAAAGTGAATTTTTATGTGGCAGTTATCAGCCGGAATCCTGCCTTGGTTTGAGATAAATTATTATTTTTACTGAGTTTCTTTTACTGAGTTCACAGTAAACCCACGATTGGGTACCCTGGCTAAGGTTCCAGCTGTCCATACAAAAAGCTCAGCTGCTCATCAGACATCATTTAGTGTAATGGGTCCCAGACTCTGGAACTGTATATCTTGGCACATACGTGCAGTCTCAAAGCATGATGGCTTCAAGCATCATATGACGGCATTCATGCTTTCCTTGCCGGATAAACCGCCAACCCGGGGCTTCACATCACCGAACTCCAATTCTATACTGGACTGTCGTAACGATCGAGAGGCATCTGCTCTCTGGGGTGGTCAGCAACTCTGATGGCCTGTCGAGTTTCGACGAAGCAGATCAAAGGTATAAAGGTAAGGAGATTTGTATGAGTTGGTTAAGCTCTGAAGTGTAACGTTGTATTTCCTAGATTGTTCTAGACAATTTTGTCTTCATAAACTTCAAAAAAATAGATGATATTTATAGTATAATCCCAATGCCTATATTTCAGATTAACTTAAGTGATCCCGGACAGCTGGAGTGATCCCGGACAGCTGGATTGGTCCCGGCCAGCTGGAGTGATCCTGGCCAGCTGGAGTAATCCCGGACAGATGGAGTAATCCCGGCCAGCTAGAGTAATCCCGGCCAGCGGGAGTGATCCCGGCCAGCTGGAGTGATCCCGGTCAGCTAGAGTAATCCCAGCCAACTGGAGTAATCCCGGCCAGCGAGAGTGATCCCGGACAGCTGGAGTGATCCCGGACAGCTGAAGTGATCCCGGACAGCTGGAGTGATCCCGGACAGCTGGAGTGATCCCGGCCAGCTGGAGTGATCCCGGACAGCTGGAGTAATCCCGGTCAGCAGGAGTGATCCCGGACAGCTGGAGTGATCCTGGCCAGCTGGAGTGATCCCGGACAGCTGGATTGGTCCCGGACGGATGAAGTGATCTCGGACAGCTGGAGTGATCCCGGACAGCTGGATTGGTCCCGGCCAGCTGGAGTGATCCCGGACAGCTGGTGTGATCCCGGACAGCTGGTGTGATCCTGGCCTGGTTATCTTGCCAGGGATTTGAGTAGAGAAACTGAACTCTGACTTATAACACTCACTAGTCACTAATTATGCTGGGTATGAGCTTATAGAAATTCTAATGGAGAAGCCCGTCAGGGCACTGTTAGAGAAGGGTAAAAACTCACGGGCTTCAAATGAGTTACATCGGACGGATTCGCTAACTGGCCCTGAAATTAATTAGTAATTGGTACTGATTACACGTCTGATAAGTTATACAGCACTATAATGACTAGTAAAATGAAGAAATTTCAAAACATTTAGTGAGGATTGTGAATAGTTGTTACCTTCTCTTCCTCAGTAAGTTTGGAAACCTGTTTTGTCTCGTTCCTGTGTTTTCTTTCTGCACCTTTATTCTGAACGATAAGGATACCCCTTTTTAGAGATAAAAATGGACAGTTAAATAAATCCATGATAGATCGTGGGGTGATGAACTATGTATTTTTTTGACACGTGATAGTGATCCGATGTTCTGATTGGTCTGGGAGCTGATAGTGTAATCTCTATCACAAATATGGTTCACCTTCCAACCACTATCCAGATCTACACAGTATTTTCTGTAGGCACTAGGACATCTTCCTTCAAACACTACTAAGTACAGTTTGTTTGTCACTTTGCAAGGTTGTGCCAAGCGCCACACTTACTATTGCATAATATCTAAAACTTTCAAACTTCCAAATATGATGATAATCAGCTCATGACGATGTCCTCACTAATTATACTAGAGGAAGTAAATTTCTCAAAGGAATGTTACCGATCAATAATAATAAACTACCTCACAAAATTATGTATTAGAATTATTTACAAAAAACATACCTGAAATATTTTCAGGACACACGCAGAAGTTCCGAGGTATCGGCTAGGTTTCTCTGTCTTGTGAATGTACGTGTCCACAGATAGTAAGAACGGCACTCCCTTTTCCCCGCTGTGCTTCCTTTTTGTGAAGTCGCCGCTCAGACAGTGGACCTGTTGAATTGATTAATTAATTACTTTTCACTGCCAAGTTTTAAATCAAGATGGTAAGGAAAAAAACAACCGAAGCAAAATAATTTTAATTAACAATCTGACCCAATGGTACTGAAATTAAGCATCTTGGTTGATATTTAAGTTATTTTTGACCATTAAAAAATTAAAAAATTAAAACAATTTGACGTATTTTTACAGACTGAATGACACAAACTTTTCTCATCACCACCAAATTGGGTAAATCAGAAACAGTTCCCAATAATCACACCCATCACGTGTGCCATCACGTGACCATGCTAATTACAGCGATCTGTCAAATGTCAGGCGACCATGTTAATTACAGGGATTTGACACACTCAAACTTTGCGGTTGCGACAGAGACTTTCTGTTAGCTCTTAAGATAGCGGTAATAAAATCCTTAGTAATTTAAGGTGCTAAACATTGTCCAAAACCAATCATTGAAATGTAGGCGGGAGCCGGGAGGATGCTTTGTCTAAGTGGTCTGTTAAAAAGTCACTTGGTATTGGTAATGACACGTGGTGGTTATGCTGGGATTTGATTTGTGAATACTACAATCCTGTCACAAACTTGCACCTCCTCCCAATCCCCACTATTATATTAATATATTAGATAGTACATTATACATACAATATGACTTACTTGACTTAAGGCGGCTTCAGCGTCCGAGTATTGATGCGCTGTCTCCATAAAACTCTATCCGCCATAAGTCCGCCCATTTCTCCAGTGTCGTTGAGACCCGTGTCAGCTCGTAGGCTATCAACATAGGTCATGGCTGGTCTCCCCCTACTCCGCACCCCATGAGTTGGTTCCCAGAGTAGCAAGCGGTTTGCGACTAGTTCTGGGTGCCGGTGGATATGGCCTGCTAGTCGCATCCTGCGCTCTTGGATCTTCATGGTTGCTCTCGGTAGGTTGCCATAGACTTCTTTGTTGGTTTTTCGCTGCTTCCAATCCACATTAAGTGCCATCCTTAGCATTCTAGTGTAGCAGCCATCAATGCGTTTCTTCAATTGCTCTGTCAGCGTCCACGTTTCAGAACCATAAAGAAGTATTGATTCCACAGTAGCAACAAATAGACGGATCTTCAGTCCTCTTCTAAGGTCAGACTTCCACATCTTCTTCAGCTTGTGGCAGGCTGCCCAAGCCTTAGCTTTCCTGACCCGCAGGTCCCTCTCTGTTGTTGCTATCCAAGCTCCAAGGTAAACAAAGTCTGTCACCTTTTCCAGCTGGTTTCCAGAACAACTATTAAGACTACTCGCCTCCTCTGTCATGTTCAGAGTCATGAACTTAGTTTTAGTGCCGTTCATGGCTAGCCCAACACTCAGTGCTGCTTTCTCAAGCCTGTCCAGGAGTAGTTTTGCCCCTTCAATGGTATCAGTGATAAGGGCAACATCATCTGCAAACTCGACGTCTGCGATCTTTTCGGCACCAATCCTTCTACTCCGTGCAGGCCTGAGAGTGAACCCAGAGTCCGAGTCATCATCGTCTATAGACACTGTCATGATATAGTCAATCACGATAATGAACAAGTACGGGGCAAGAGTGTCTCCTTGCAGTACTCCAGCCAGGATATCAAAAATTTCTGTTATACCATCGGCTGTAACTACTTTAGCCTTTGTGCTCGTGTAGATACCCTCAATGAGCCGCACTATGGCTTCTGGTATGCCATATGCTTTCAATATCTTCATGAGCAAACCTCTATGCACACTATCGAACGCCTTTTTGAAATCTATGAAAACCATGGTGGCCTTAAGATTTTTGGCTCTAGCACCCTCCATAATTCTTCGTAGAGCAAGGATGTGCGATGTTGTAGAGCGCCCAGGTCTAAAGCCATTCTGGTTGTCCCTTAAAACTTCCTCAAGACTTGGCTTCATCCTGTTCAGCAACATTTTGTTCAGAGTTTTACTGACTATCGATGTCATCTATCTATTCCGAACTTCAATTGCATACTTATTTTGAAGCTCACCATCCGACTTCAGGGCACTATAATCATAGTTAACTTTTTTCGGAGGCCTGTGTCCTTTCCTAAAGCTAACTTTGATCTTACACACTACAACTCTGTGATCAGATCCCAACGACTGAAAAGTGTTGTAAACTTCAGTGTTCTTTAATGAGTTTTTCCACTTCCGCCGTATGAGGATATAGTCAATCTGACCTTTGTTAAGTGTCCCATCGGATAAGAAGGTCCACCTCTTGTTGACCTTCTTTCTGAAGCGGATATTGGTAATTTCCATATCGCACTCCAGGGCAGTGTCTCTCAGTAGCTCTCCATTCCGATTGGTACGAGTATGAAAGTACCAACGGGAATCTTCTTCACTCTCCTTTCCAAGCCGGGCGTTCATATCTCCCTCTGTGATCAGCAGGTGGTGCGCTGGCACATCATTCATAGCCTGTCTAAGGGTGTTATGGAAATCCTCCGCTTCTTCAACTAGTGCTGCCTCATACAATATTAACATATTATATATTAACATATTATATATTCTGTAAAAAGATGGATTTATTAGATACGTGCACTGTGCAGTAGTGTATGATAAATGCTGAATATGGCAGTGCAGAGTATTACAGTGGAATTATACAATGTTATAAATTACAACGTTTACTTGTACTTTTTCGATATTCGATATGCCTGCGGTTGAAAGAATTCAATGTCAAAAATATGTTGTTGAATATTTGACGTCACGTACTTTAGCTTAGCTTTAAGTGCTTTTAATAAGCACCTTGTAAAAACACGGATTAGATAAAAAAAACATATTACATCTCCAACAGTGAAAACAAGTGAAATCAAGTAAAAACAAGTGAAAACAAGTGATACACTAGAATGTATAATTCTGGCTTCTCTAGAACACTTCAATTGCGGTTTTATTGTAGTTCCCGTAAACATTAAACACAGACCTCATCACAAAGATGAAATTGGCAATAAAACATAGTTTGAAGACAGCAAATACCTTGATAAAGAGAGAGCCAACCTTGGCAGGATTCCAAACAACATGTACACTGTTAGGATTGAGAGTATCGTTCGTTACTGACTCTGTATTTACACATGTAGAGCTTACTGCAACACAGTGGGCTTCTTTTAGCAATAAATAAATTGATAAAGTAAAATACAATACTTTTTAAACTTATAATAAAGTAAAGTACAATAATTGTAAATTTATAATAGGGGGTTCGTATTCATCATGCAAGTTTTAGTGAATAGGTTTTTTAAGTATATACATTTTAATACTTTCAACAATACTATATATTATGGCAGTGTCCAAAAAGCCCGCCCAGTCCGCGGACTACTTATGACATGATGGTAAACAGATCACATGAATAGTATCTTGGAAGCAACCAATGAGCAAGTGAACTGAATACCAGGCATACCAGCTTCAAGAAGTCTGCAATTGTTCTCACTGTTCCACTGATCAAACATCTCTCGTTCCTTGGCTTGTAGCTTCTTTTCTTGGAGTCGCAGTAACACATTTGACTGGAAGTTACAAGAATTTTATGAGACTACCATATAAGGTAATGTCAAGGTAAAACTACTATATAAGGCAAACAGTACAGCAGTAACGAATCATTTTAAAGCTTTCATAACATTGACTGTGCTATAATTAGATAAACGTATAAGTTGAGCAACAATTACCATATGATGCTAGGAGATAAAACACTTACCTCAATCATGTAACCACAGTAAAGGTTTGGAGTGTTACATTTGAATGTCATTTCATAGGTTTGCCCCTTGTTGAAATACGTCAGGTTATTCTGGCTTTCTTTCGTTGATAGTGATTGTGGGGCTCCAATGATGTAGGAAAATCTAAAATAGAAAATATCAAGTCATGCGTATGTCGACAGATAATAAACTCGCTATTTCTTTAGATGAAATTTAATTGGTCAATGATAAAACAATAATATAATGATTTTCCAGTTGCAGTTACCTTGCAGCGATATCCTCCTTGGTTTCACTCTTGTCATCCTGCACCTCTTGTAGTTCTCCAAGCTCTACTTTAAGAGTGCTGATACTGAACGAGTCTGTTTGATCTCTGAAGATTTGTTATTATTGTCATGATGCTACAAGGTGCAGAGATAAACATTGCTTTTGGTAGCTGAAGGTAGATACAAAGTTGTATTCCTGAAACTCGAACTTTGTAATGACAACTGAGCTTGGAAATCTAAATGGTTCATCTATCAATCATTCACTTCATGATATTATATTTTACATCGGGTTATGATTTAACGTACATGTCACAGTTGCTTATCTGTCCATTCGATTCCAAGTGGAAAGGGTCCCTGAAATATTAAAAGTTTTAAAAGCTTGCTACAAGGTTTGAAGAAACCTAGAGTGATTCTTTAGATTAAGACTTGAGAACAATTCATGGAATAAATACGAAGAATGTAGTCAGAAAAAGCATCAAGCTGGACAATATCAATAACTGCTTATGATGAAGGGGGATAATTAACTTTTTGTGAACAAAGAACTGTATTTAGGGCTACTTACAAATCCAAGTTATCAATTGGGTGACTAAAAAACGTCTTTTCTGCTTGCATTGGAAGATCATCATTATCCTTCCAGTCAGCCATCCTAAAATTATTTGAACGTAATGTTCATAATCTTTTAAATAGAAACTTTGCTGACCGTCTCCTTAACCGAAATTTCGCAGTTTTGACTGAAATTTTAACCAGTGACCAATCAGTGAGTTCGGTGAGAGTGACACAAATCACCATCAAGGTACTGGAAGCAGTATATGCGGAGAAAACTTTGAAAATATTCGAATTTCAGCTTTCCGCGACCCAAATTTTACTGTTTTGACTAAATTTTTCTTAAATGACCATCTTACAAGGTCACTGAGGATGGCACAAGACACGATTGAGGTTCCCAAAGAAAGATTTGATAAGCGGAGAATCGTCAGAATACAAAACGAGATTTTAGAAGATATTTGAAGAGGAGCTTTTCTTGACCGAAATTTCGCGGTTCCGACTGAAATTTTGACCAGTGACCGAACAGTGAGGTCTATGAGAGTGACACAAGTCGCCATTAAGGTACTGGAAGCAGTATATCCGGAGAGAAAACTTTGATGCAATGAAAATTTTGAATATGTCTTACCGGTAGGACATATTCGAATTATGGTTGTCATTATCGTATTGGTACAATTGTTTTATCACGATAATCGATAATATTTTCATAATTATTGCAATAACATAGGTTATCAGTGATAAATTTGGTAAGATAATGAAAGCAATATTTGTGCACTCTGCATACTTAATTATACTTCTATGCTATGTAGTATGTTACCTTGTAACATCATTATTATAAAGTTACAAAATGACATAACAATGTAGATAATCAGCAATCAGCATATCTAACGAATAATCATTCAAGTTTATTCAAAAAAGTTAGCTGGGTCAGTTGTGAATAGATCAATCTCCCGACCAAGGGTATATATCCTGGCTACCATTGTCGAATTGTCCTGAGGACCAGTCGTTGCAACTTGCACTACTTTTGCTGTTTGTCTCTTTCTGCTTGAACAATCGCTTGTGCAGAGACTTAGAGTTAAGTATCAAGGTTGACTTCGTGATCATTTTGTATTCTTGATATACATCTGCATCTTGAATACCAGTGTCCGAGTAGAACGTTACCAGCCATACGAAGTTAAGGTTCTTTCTCTTAACATATCGTGTATGTAGCCTATCAACTTCAAGAAAGGTTCGTGAAAGTGGCGATTCTATCTTTTCCAGCTGTCAATAAACTGAATAATCACTTCTGCTTGAGCGAGATTGTTGTCTCTTTTACACAGTCTTGATAGTCTTGATAAATGTCTTTAAGGGGGGGGACAATGGATATTTTTTTGTGAAACTTGATTTCGAGATAGCAGTTGACCAACAAACTAGGACCAGTGACCGAACTTTTGAGGGGGTCCCAGACCCCAACCGCCAAACGGTGCCCGCGGGGCAGCCACGTCCATATTTGGTCCAAATTAGGCCCAATTTAGCCAAATACCCTGACATGCCTAAAACCCAGATTTTAGGTGCTTTACTTGTAGCTAGTGGTCTCTTGAACACGTATATGAGATTTCATCAAGATTGGACAAAAAATGACTGAGTTATGGGCCAAACACCATATGCCCATATTTGGGCATACGCATCAAATTTGGTAGATTTCGTCCCATAAATTGGGCAAATATCAATATTTTTGAATGAAACTTACTTTATAAGAAAGGTAAGCCTAAACTACATATTCTCTGTAAGTTATAGCTTTATATCTGTTTAAATGTGGATACTAAGGCGAAAAAACCACAAAAAATGAACTAAATTGCCTGTATCTTGGTTCGCGATATTCGCGGAATTGATCTCATTAAAATTGTAACAACTCAATCAGTTTTCAAAATTGTTGCATGAAATTTTCGGAATCGACTCGAAATCGCATTTCCACCTTATTTTGAGAACAGATTTTTGATTTAGGCCTCCAAAAAAAATTGGCGGCCAAATTCCAAAATTTTCCCGGAAAAATTCAGAATTTGGTTGCCAAATTTTTTTTGAGGCCTAAATCAAAAATCTGTTCTTAAAATAAGGTGGAAATGCGATTTCGAGTCGATTCCGAAAATTTTATGCAAAAATTTTGAAAACTGATTGAGTTGTTACAATTTTAATGAGATCAATTCCGCGAATATCGCGAACCAAGATACAGGCAATTTAGTTCATTTTTTGTGGTTTTTTCGCCTTAGTATCCACATTTAAACAGATATAAAGCTATAACTTACAGAGAATATGTAGTTTAGGCTTACCTTTCTTATAAAGTAAGTTTCATTCAAAAATATTGATATTTGCCCAATTTATGGGACGAAATCTACCAAATTTGGTGCGTATGCCCAAATATGGGCATATGGTTTTTGGCCCATAACTCAGTCATTTTTTGTCTAATCTTGATGCAATTTCATATACGAGTTCAGGAGACCACTAGCTACAATTAGAGCACCTAAAATCTTGGTTTTGGGCATGTTCAGGGTATTTGGCTTAATTGGGCCTAATTTGGACCAAATATGGGCGTGGCTGCCCCGCGGGCACCGTTTGGTGGTTCGGATCCGAGACCCCCTCAAAAGTTAGGTCACTGATCCTAGTTTGTTGGTCAACTGCTATCTCGAAATCAAGTTTCACAAAAAAATATCCATTGTCCCCCCCCCTTAACTAATTCAGTCTCCCCTGCATCCAGTTTTAGATTACGTAGCTCCAAGTCATCCAAAACTTCGTTCACTGCATTGCAGTTATCACTCCAACATACTACACAGCAAGCTCCAACAGGTTTAACAGTCAATGTAGTCTGAGTTCGTTTCTGTGCTTCAACAAACAACAATAACTACGTCTGAGCATACAACCTTCGAGCCACCTACTTAACTACCTTACTCGGGAATATTATGACTGGGATAAAGTGGTGGGTTTTGGAAAATTCCGCCATATTTTTCCCGGTCAAAAATTTTACCAGTCATAATAAAACCCGCTGAGTCAGATTATGGGGTTCCAAGGGGGTGGTGATCATCATATTTTACCTGAAGTCTCATATGTGCTAGAGAAGACTTTTGAAGCAGTGGATGGAGGGCTGTAACTTTATTGGCTGTTGCTATAAAATCACAATTTGGTTATAGAAATCAGATTTCAGGATGGACCGTGATTCTCATTTCTCTTGCCAATGAATCAGTGAATCGTAGAGAAGAAAACAATTTATATGTTATAGAAGAAAACAGTGGAGCGAGAGACATCAGCTGAGTCGCTAAAGATTGATCGCTTCTCGTGTGCAGTGTGTAGACTAAAGAAAGAGGGAGTTTTTCCCATTAAAGTAACTTGTGGCCACATCCCGGTAGAAGTGAGTAAACTGTGCCACTATTTCATGGTCCACGGTGGATTGATTACTGGAGCAGTTGAAGATGCAAAGCCAAGACGTTCCCCAATACCAAGCGGTGGGCAGGAAATCAAGCCCCGGCTGACCTTCAGAGCAGTAGCCCCACTAGCGGACAAAATGAAAGTCTTGTTAAGACAACAATACGACTTCGAATTTGACGGTCAGCAGCAGGGGGATATCAATAATGATAATGGAGGGGACATTAGCGATAATGAGAATGAGAATACGCTTTAATGAAGATTTGACTTATTATTGCTTAGATTTATTTTCCTTTAAATAGACGTGTCTTTTTTTCTACTTCTGAGTAATATCAATAACTGTAAATTGAAATAACTTCTTTAACAAGTAACAAAAAACAGAAATTTCGGTTGAAAATTTGTTGACCTCTGAAAAAAAACTTGAAAGGTCGGCCACCGGTAAATTCATGACCGGGATAATTTGGCGGGTTTTGGGAAAGTCCACCATATTTTTCCCTGTCATTAATTTTCCCATTCATAAATTAACCCGCTATAATATTCCCGAGTAAGGTAGATGCGATAACGCAACATTTCAATTTTCACTGCCACAAATTCATACACACTACACAGCACGTCAGCATACCATCACACTGCAAATTATGATTGCACTGGGGTTTTACTCTACAAACAAAGAAACAGATTAGAAAAATATGTCAAATGTATGCTATTTTATTCTTATAAAAATTGGTTGTGATGCGAGATAATTCTCGAAAATTATTGAGATAATCGATAACGTTTTTGGAAAATTATCGGCCGATAATATCGGTTGGCAACCGTAATTCAAATTTCAGCTTTCCATGACACAAATTTCACTTTATCGACTGAATTTTTCTTAAATGACCATCTTACAAGCAGTGGCATAATGTTGCCTTTTGGTGCCCCTCCCTGAATTTGAACAAATTAGATGATTTCAGAGGATACATTGGTAAAATATGTGCGTGTTTTCTAGAGCAAAACGCACTGTTTTGCTAGTATTGTAGTTAAGTTTTTCGAAATTGTCCCACATTCAAACAAAGATTTGGTGCCCCCAGCCCCCTAAGATTGAGCCCCTCCCCCCCCCACAGCGGGGTAGGTGGGGCCCTTTGTTATGCCACTTCTTACAAGGTCACTGAGCACAGGAGGGGCTAAGTGCAAAGAAACTGCTGCTAACTGCTGCTCACTGCTGCTCACTGCTACTAACTGCTGCTCACTGACAGAAGCAGTGAGCAGCAGTGAGCATCAGTGAGCAGCAGTGAGCAGCAGTTTCTTTGCACTTAGCCCCGCCTGTGTGAGGATGGCACAAGACACGATTGAGGTACTCAAAGTTCTATTGATAAACGGAAAATCACCAAAATACAAAAAGAGATTTTGGAAGATTTTTGTAGAGGAGCCTTTCTTCCGTCCCCTTGACTGAAATTTCGCGGTTTTTACTGAAATTTTGACCAGTGACCGATCCGTGAGATTTTGAGACCTCGGTGAGAGTGACACAAGTCACCATCAAGGTATTGGAACTTGGAAGCAGTATACCCGGAGAAAACTCCAAAAAGATGTTTGAATATGTTCTACCGGTAAAATATATTCCAATTTCAGTTTTCCGCCAACCACATTTCACTATTTTGAAGCTGAACTTTTTTGAATGACCATCTTACAAGGTCGATGAGGATTGCACAAAACACGATTGACGTTATCAAAGTTTTATTAC